TTGCCTATTTGGAAAGGGCAAAGAGTCAAGTATTGAGTCATAGGGACTGACAATGACAGGTTGAAACAGGAAACACAGACAAGGGTTACCATTAATCAGATGAAGTTACTTATTTCATTTATATCTCATCAGTTCTACAATTATTTCATTATCAATCTAAATAGTATATTTTGCTGAATAAAGACAATGTGTTTATAATGTGTTTATCTAGCCCCGAAAAATCCTTATTACGTACTAAATGGAAAAAAAGAGGACATTGGATTGACCTCTAAATATGCTTTAAATGATCCAATTTTTTTCTGGGATGCATTTTGTACCTAATGGACAAAAATAAACCTTGTGGAGAAAACGTATACAAATATGTGATATTTTGGACCACCCTAATATATATATATATATATATATATATATATATATATATATATATATATATATATATATATATATATATATATATATATATATATATATATATATATATATATATAGGCCACTGAAACTACTGTAGACGTGGTCATCCCAAGGGAAGGAGGCCAGAGAGAAACATTGGCAGAGTAAGTAATTAATAATTAATTTAATATCGCGTTATATATAAAGACATCGTCAAAATTCCCTACGTTAATGTCACCCCGTAAAACCCATAAGTGATGAGGCCCGTCACCGAGTGCTAGGGAGGGAGAGCCCCACCAGGGCCACCACCCCATAACTCATCACCCATAATCATCATTTTTAAATCCTGCCATTATTGACTGTTAACTTTAACCCCTGTAATGATGAAGTAAACCATCACACGTATCATACCAGAACAACTGAGAAACACCCCCAAAAATGCATTTAACCCTTGTCTTCTTGTAATTTCATTTAATATTAAAATTACAGTATCATTAATATTACATTACTATTGTTATCAATTTTATTATAATTATTATTATTATTATTATTATTATTATTATTATTATTATTAATAATATCATTATTATTATTATTATTATTATTATTATTATTATTATTATTATTATTATTATTAATGGTAAAAATATTTTTTTCAATTTCATTTTTCTTCCCGTATAACTGAAGAAAATATTTTGAGAGAGAGAGAGAGAGAGAGAGAGAGAGAGAGAGAGAGAGAGAGAGGTTCAGCAGGAAGATGTGAGGTAGCTTTAAGCCTGCGCCTGAAGGTAAGTCAGACACGAGGTATCTTAAAGGTGAGGACCACCACGCCGCCGCCACCTGCCATCACCTGCCACCACCATCTGCCATCACCTGCCACCACGACACCACCGTCTGCCACCATTACCTGCAAACACGACACCACCATCTGCCATCACCTGCAAACAAGACACCACCACCTGCCACCACGACACCACCACCTGCCATCACCTGACACCATCATATGCCACCACCACCTGCCACCATCACCTGCCACCACCACCTGCCACCATCACTTGACACCACCACCTGCCATCAGTACCTGCCACCCACTTGCCCCACACCCATCAGTCATTTCGTCTTCCCTGCCACCACTCCACCATCTGTTATCGACTACCTGCCATCTACATCCTCCCACACACCATCTGTCCATAAGCCACCTGTCATTAACAATTAATCACCTACATGTTGTCTACCATCTACCTATATCACCTGTTGTCTACCATCTACCAGTCAGACATGGGGTTGAAGCCATTGGAAAGCCACAAAGACGAAGCCGAAGCCGAAGCCAGCCATTTAAAGCCATAAAGCCGAAACCGCAGCCAAGGCAACACAAAACCTTAAGACCATTACTTATATACTGTATCGCCTTACATATTGATGGAGAAACATATTGTAAGCTGCAGCAAAGCCTTTTGATAAGCTGATTTTATTTTAAGCTGGTTAGGGTTAAGTTTTGACTCTCCCTATAGATTGAAAGGAAGTTGTTTATGGCATCAATTTATCTAGGAATTATTTTTTTTTTATTTTTTTTTTTATTCATTATTTATCAACTTTCATTATATTCATTCGTGTATTTTATGCATTACCTAAATGAAAGCAGTAATGAAAAAGAAATCTACAAAATTATACACGATAACATTAAACACAGTAACATACAATATATACACACACACACACACACACACACACACACACACACACACACACACACACACACACACACACACACACACACCACATCACATAAAACCATTGCAACGAATCATCTAAGACTGTCAAAGGCTCGGTCAGTCAGCACCTGGCCTGAGGAGGCAGGAAGGCACAGGTGGTGCTTGTCCAAGGTTTCAGATCACGTCAGGAGAATGGACCAATAGGAGGGGGGGAGGGGGGGGGTTGAGCTGTGACGTCATAGAGGCTGGCTTTCTTAGGTCAAGTCATTGTGGGAAGAGTCAAGTCAAGGATCAGCTGTGACGACACCGTATACTAACAGTTAAGACACAGCACTCAAATAGTTAATAGACTAATTCACTGCACCCAATAGGTTAGCATCGTACTCAGGAGGTTAAATGTCCCATAGACTCCCAACTATTAACGCCGCCTGAACACACACACACACACACACACACACACACACACACACACACACACACACACACACACACACACACACACACACACACACACACACACTAAATATAAATACTACGTCGCCGACAATGGGTTTTCTGCTGGCCCAGACTTAGAGGGTGAAAGGACATTACTGTGTTAATTGTCTAGGCCAGAGGTCAGAGAATGTCGGGGAGGTGGGTGGGGTGGGGTGAGGTGGGTGGAGAAAGGGTCTTTTCTGTCTCGTAATTAAGACAGTTGGGCGAGAGGAAGAGGAGTGGGTTAGAATCATATGTAGTAATGCTTAATATATAGCATCAGGGGGTCACGAAGGTCACCAGGTCAAAAGGTCATTGGTGTGTGTGTGTGTGTGTGTGTGTGTGAGTGAGAGAGAGAGAGAGAGAGAGAGAGAGAGAGAGAGAGAGAGAGAGAGAGAGAGGAGAGAGAGAGAGAGAGAGAGAGAGAGAGAGAGAGAGAGAGAGAGAGAGAGAGAGAGAGAGGAGATAAAAAAGGGGGAGGAGGAATTGAATGAAAAGAGAAGAAATGTAGGGGAGGAAAAAATAAATAAAAGAAAGGGAGAGAGAAACTGGACGAGGATATGAAGGGAAGATGGTAAAGTAAAAGACGAACTAGATGAAAGACAGAAAGAGGAAGAGATATCTCATCTCTCTCTCTCTCTCTTAACTATCCCCCAACTTTCTCTCCCTTCTCTTACTCCACTCTCACTCGTCCATCCTCCTTCCCTTACTCCCTCCCTCTCTTTACTCCCTCTTCCTCCGTAGTTAGGTTGTCGATTTTCCAATAATTGCAAGGACCAGACAACAAATTCTCTCTCCTTCCCTCCCTCTCACCCCCACCTCTCAATCTCTCCTTCCTCCCTCTCTCACTCCCCCACCTCTCACCCACCTCCCACTCTCCCCAACGATATCTGCAAAGGCGTCCACCAAAAGGCTGGATTCAATTCCATGTGTGTGTGTGTGTGTGTGTGTGTGTGTGTGTGTGTGTGTGTGTGTGTGTGTGTGTGTGTGTGTGTGTGTGTGTGTGGTAATAATAATAATAATAATAATTAACGGTTTATTGAAAAGTTCTGCAGCCCGAAGGCTGAAAATATACATTGGACATAAATGACTTATTACATACATTGGTGGTTTAACAAAAGCCTTCATTAGAGAAAGGTAAAGGAACATACAGTGAACATACAGATTATTGTAGGTGTTGAACAGCAAACACGTAGTGTAGTAACTCCCTCCCAGATGGTGTTATGAGGGACCTCACGTAGTGTAGTAATTACCTTACAGATGGTGTTACGAGGGACCTGACGTGGTGTAGTAATTCCCTCACAGATGGTGTTATGAGGGGCCTCACGTGGTGTAGTAATTCCCTCACAGATGGTGTTATGCGGGGCCTCACGTGGTGTAGTAACTCCTTCACATATGGTGTTATGCGGGGCCTCACGTGGTGTAGTAATTCCCTCACAGACGATGTTATATGAGTGAGGTGTGGTCCCAGGCCTTCCTATCGTAGACGGATTAACACATCGCTGGTTGTTGGGTCTCACGGGCCGTTATCACTGGGTACCTGGGACCTCACTGTGTGAAGGTTAACTTGGGTGAGACTGTTACTGTTGAGTTGTTCTCGCTGACTTAAGCACTGTTCACCACTATTCACCTCTGTTTAACACTGGTTCCATTCCTTTCCTAAATGAAATAGTAACTTCTGGCGAGAACTTGTTGATATTCCGGTGGGGAGGAGGGTTCAGGGGAGGGAGTTGGTATGGGCCCACTTAACAGTTGACCTGGCTGCTCCGAGAGGAGCGCCAGGTACGTCTTGACCCTTCGGTGGTCAAGGATGTAGTGTAGTGTGTGTGTGTGTGTGTGTGTGTGTGTGTGTGTGTGTGTGTGTGTGTGTGTGTGTGTGTGTGTGTGTGACCCCTATGATATACAGTATATGTTTGGACTTCAACTGAGTGAAAAAGTAATTAGATATTGGGAACCGGAATTTAATTGACTTGTGGATCATGTTCCGGGGCAGTGGTTAGCCAGTGCAGTTGGCGAGTTGTCCGGTCTTCTTGAATTATTCCTCGACACTGGGTCATAGAGCTCGTTAACTTAGGTGTGTGGTTGTTGTGTTAGCGACGTCTACGAGGCCCTGGACCAATCATTCTCAAGGGCAACCATTACTACTACTTCTACTACTACTAAAATGTATATACCAGTAAGAGGTTATTGATAGAGAAAAAGAGAGAGAGAGAAAGAGAGAAAGAGAGAGGTAATATCTGCAGCAAGAATCACTCATGTAATCTGAAGACAAGCACGGCTCCTGGTACCCTGCTAACTGATGCACGGCCACACCAGGTACGGCTCCAGGGACCCTGCTAATTGATGCACGCCCACACCAGGTACGGCTCCAGGTACCTTGCTAACTGATGGACGCCCACACCAGGTACGGCTCCTGGTACCCTGCTAACTGATGCACGCCCACACCAGGTACGGCTCCAGGGACCCTGCTAACTGATGCACGCCCACACCACAGAGTACGCTCAGGTACCCTACTAACTGATGCACGCCCACACACCAGGTACGGCTCCAGGTACCCTGCCTAACTGATGCACACGCCCACACCAGGTACGGCTCCTGGTACCCTACTAACTGATGCACGCCCACACCAGGTACGGCTCCTGGTACCGTGCTAACTGATGCACGCCCACACCAGGTACGGCTCAGGGACCTGCTATGCTGATGCACGCCCACACCAGGTACGGCTCCTGGTACCCTGCTAGCCTGATGCACGCCCACACCAGGTACGGCTCCTGTGGTACCCTGATAACTGATGCACGCCCACACCAGGCACGGCTCCTAGTACCCTGCTAACTGTTGCGCCCACACCAGGTCGGCTCCTGGGCGCCTGCTAACGATGCACGCCCACACCAGGTACGGCTCAGGGACCCTGCTAACTGATGCACGCCCACACACCAGGCACGGCTCCTGGTACCCTGCTAACGATGCACGCCCACACCAGGTCCGGCTTCTGGTACCCTGCTACTAACTGATGCACGCCCACACCAGGTACGGCTCAGGGACCCTGCTAACTGATGCACGCCCACACCAGGTACGGCTCCTGGTACCCTGCTAACGATGCACGCCCACACCAGGTCCGGCTCCTGGTACCCTGCTAACTGATGCACGCCCACACCAGGTACGGCTCCAGGGACCCTGCCCCAACTGATGCACGCCCACACCAGCTAAGGCTCCTGGTTCCCTGCTAACTGATGCACGCCCACACCAGGTACAGCTCATGTGAAGCAACTCAGAGGGGATGGTTCTCGGCCGGTCACACCAACAGGAGTGTACACTAGAGAACAAGAGGAGCCTGGCGGTGTACCTGGTCACACGGGACAACACTCGGGCGTAAGGCTCCAGTTTACGGTGTATAACCCAGACATCCTAACACTGCCAACACATAGGTCACAACCCAGGAACTACTGCACGAACCTTTAATATATATATATATATATATATAAAGTATTTTTGCCCCAACGTTACATAATTAAATAACAGGACTCACCTGACGAAGCCGAGGGTATCTCCCTAACCCGTCATAACAGGTATACATTTCATTAACAAGGTAAGGGAGGTAATGATCTTCCTGGCGAAGGTGAGGGGACATTCCCGACCCCTTATAACAGGTGCGAGTCATTAACAAAGAAAAAGAGGAGAGGACCTACCTGGTGAGGGGGAGGAGATGTCCCTAGAGGGCTCGGAGGTGGTGCGTTCCCCTATCTTGCGGCGGAGGGCATCCAGGTCGAAAGGGTTGTGGATGGTGTGGTCCACACTCCGGCTCTTGCCCCTGTTGACGGAGGAGGAGAAGCGTGGTTAGACGGCGTGGGAGGAGGGCGTGGTTAAAGGGAGTTCGCACGTAAAATGTGAAGCAGGACTTTAGGCGTTGAGAGGCGTGGTCATGTCAGTGGTGCCGTGGTGTGCCTGGAGGGTGTTCATAGTCGATTTTAAGGTGTAGAGGAAAAGCGTGGACGAAGGGCGTGGATAGGGGCGTGGTGAGGGGAGATTATTAGGGGGCATAGTCGGGGGATATGATCTGCGGGCGTGGAAAGAACACTGTCGTATCACATGCACACCGCTTGTCTGTGTGCAGGTAAATACTTGAGGTAAATCTCCCAATGGTTCTGGTAAGAGAATCTCCAGCCGGTACACTAGCTTGGTGCTCACTCGCCTCGGTACTACAAAGCTAATATTGACAATTCCGGTATATACCTTAATGTTATCCATATAATGATAAATAATAATTAACATGCAACACTAATATGCACGGATGTAATTAGCAATAGAGAGAAAAATTCCGGTGAAGCTGTAAAGGAAGAGAGAATTAGAGAGGAAATAGATAGTCTAGCATTGTCTTCCCCCTGTCTTGGTGCACAGGTAAGAGGAATTAAGACGCGGCGTTGGTCTGTAATTAGCGATCACCAGAGAGTAATAATTCCTGTGTTGAGAAAGAGAAGTTATCAGGGAAATAAAATAACCGGATTATGTAGAAGATTAGAGGAAAAAAGTAAATAACTGAAATTAAAGATAAATATATCAATAAACGAACATAAATATAGACAAAAAGCTAGAGAGTTAATTAACAATAACACTAGTTTTAAATATCACAACAAAACACAACAATACACAAACACGTGTCCTCTGTAAAAGGTATACAAAATCTATGCATGAAATTTATAAGGCTATAAAAATGCAGGTATAATCCTGTAGTAATCCCCCACAGCCAGCTGGGGGAAATCCCTGTAATCCGGCCTTTGTTTACGAGTACTGGCAAAATTAGGAAATTGAAGTTGTGTTGTAATTTGCTTAAATATTAGTGTTTATCACGTTATTTTCTTTATAGGAAGTTTCCACTCTCTGCATACATGAAGACCTTAGAACAAGACTGTAATATATATAGTGAAGAGAAGAACACATGTATGTGACCTTATCAAGAAAAACACAGTTACTCATACGATAATCATTGTCCACACACACACACACACACACACACACACAAAGCAACTCCCACGACACAATATAATTCAATTTAAAGATGCTTTCGAACTGATCAACTAAACTTCATGTAGGATATACTCCCCCAAACACGGCCGAGTTACCCCACATCTTGTACAGCCGGGAGAATGGCCCAGGTCCCACAAATTAACGCTTTTCTAGTTTATCAATGAAATTCACCTCAGCACTCCAGTCACAAGAACTTCTAAATGATCTTACTCGAAGTTTCCAAGCTAAAGTTGGTCTCGCCATTGACAGGATACATACAATCATGAGTCCCGTTTTCTCTCGTCTCCTGAATAAAAGAAAACGTATTCTATGGGTAACTGACTCTTTCTAATACATAACTTAACCATCTTTCTTCCGTGTGTATTTACTTGGTTAAAATGCTGATTCAGATTCTGATGCAGTCTATCACAGCTACGAGTATTATCATTAACATTATTATTGAGTTAGAAAGATTCAGACACTCCCTCTGTCTGACCTAGAAACTTGTGTCACTGGTGTAGCGTGTGTGAACCTTTGTAGTGTTGACGTGTAGCTTTGTAAATCAATACTATCGTGGTTAATATGTAGTGTAAAGGAGAAAATAATAATGAATGGCACTAAATACTATAAGTGTGTACAAGGAGGAACATCTACATGACCTCTTGAGAAACATCTACATGACCTCTTGAGAAACATCTACATGACCTCTCGAGAAACATCTACATGACCTCTCGAGAAACATTTACATGACCTCTTGAGAAACATCTACATGACCTCTTGAGAAACATTTACATGACCTCTCGAGAAACATCTACATAACGTCTTCATAAACATCTACATGACGACTCGAGAAACATCTACATAACGTCTCCAGAAACATCTACATAAGGTCTCGAGAAACATCATAAAGTCTCGAGAAATATCTACATAACGTCTCCAGAAACATCTCCTGTACATAACGTCTCCAGAAACATCATAAAGTCTCGAGAAACATCTACATAAAGTCTCCAGAAAAATCTACATAACGCCCTCAGAAATATCTACATGACCTCTCGAGAAACATCTACATAACGTCTCGAGAAACACCTACATAACGTCTTAATCAAAGTCAAGCTGTATGGTCTGAAAATGGCGATAAAACACCGTAGACTTCAATAAACCAGACACTTGGTAGAGAGAGAGAGAGAGAGAGAGAGAGAGAGAGAGAGAGAGAGAGATTTACTGGACAGAAGAATTGTGTCCTATATATGAAGAAATTATAAGAGTTAGTGGTAGGAACAGCCCAAAACCATTTTCTCTGTATAGCCTTGAGTCTGACAGAGAAAATGGTCACGACCTTGCCACCCGAAGATCTCCCAAACTACCCACCAAATTATTATATCTTCTTCACCCCTCGTTACTAAATAACTCACAGATATAACCTAAAGTAAACTGAGTTATAAAATCGATACAAAAATTACACATTTACACCATAAAAAAACGAATGAATTTGGGTTATTGACAAATTTTGATATACCGGAAGAAATGTGTTTGAAGACGCTCATTTAAAACTGATGTAATTCCGACTGTCGATGCACCACACCTGAGGATCAACCAGATAGGTCCAGATACCCGCTGGGAGACCTACAGTATACTGGAAGAGCAGTTAGAAGACCAGCTAAAATATCTAATAGGAAAACCAAATAGATCTAATAGGAAACCAGCAACTAGGAGACTAACAGCAGAGCAGCTAGGAGACCAACTAGGAAGTCTAATAGGAGAGCAGCTAGGCGAGCTAATAGGAGACCAACTAGGAGATATAATAAGAGACCAGTTAGGACGTCTAACTGGAGACCGGCTTGGAGATGTAACAGGAGACCAGGTAAGAGACCAACTAGGAGATGTAACAGGAGATCAGACAGGAGACCAACTAGATGATGTAACAGGAGACCAGGTAGGAGACCAACTAGATGATGTAACAGGAGACCAGATAAGAGACCAACTAGGAGACGTAACAGGAGAACAGCCACTTTGATGCGACGGTCAACCGGCCACCGTCAGCTAAGTAAGCAAAAATCAATTCCGCTTCCTTGGTTACTTTTCTGGCGACCCTCCCTCTTCCTCTTTCCTTCTCTTCCTCCTTCCCTCTCTTCCTCCCCTATCCTTCTCTCCCTTTCCCTATCCTTACTTCCCTCTCTCCCTCCCTCTCGCTTTACTTCCCTTTATCCTCTACCTTCCCTCCTTTTTTTTCCCTTCTTTGCTCTCCTTCTTTTCCCTTTCCATAACTCTTCCACTACACCTCTTTCCTCCTCAGTTCTCTTCTCCTTTTCTTCATATATTCTCACTTTCTTCCTCACATCTCTTCTTCCTTCTTCTCTCACACATTTTCTCTCTTCTCATACCTCTTCCTCTTCCCCCTCTCAAACATTCTCTCCCTCTCTTCCTCCTTCCCTCACACCACTCCACCTCTCTCCTTCTTTCCTTCATACCTCCTCCTCTCCCTCCCTCAGACACACTTCTACTCTCCCACTTTCCCTCACCAGCATAATTATTCTTTATGTTCCCTCATCAACCACCCTCACCATCGCCTCCTCATCTTCCTCATCTACGAAGGAAAAAAAGTGACATGTTTTTCACTTTCTTACAGGAAGTTTATAATGTGTGACATGACCTCGTGTGTGTTAGTGCGTCAGGGTGTGTTAAATGTGCGTGAGGGTGTGTTAAATGTGCGTGAGGGTGTGTTAAATGTGCGTGAGGGTGTGTTAAATGTGCGTGAGGGTGTGTTAAATGTGCGTCATGGTGTGTTAAGTGTCTGTGAGGGTGTGTTAAATGTGCGTGAGGGTGTGTTAAATGTCTACAACATGTGTTTATTGTGTGTGTTAAGGGATATGACGTTGTTTTAGAGTCCTCTCTCTCTCTCTCTCTCTCTCTCTCTCTCTCTCTCTCTCTCTCTCTCTCTCTCTCTCTCTCTCTCTCTCTCTCCTCCGTCCCTTTCATTCACTAACTGTTGTCACCACAGGTAGTGGCAGTGGGTGTCAGGTAGATGGCACCACTCAGGAGTGTCAACTCAAGCGAGAGTAACAACTTGATAATAAGCTTGTTAATGATGTCTCTCCTACCGCCCCTCCCTGCCTACTCGTCTTCTTTCTCCTCTTTCTTCCAGTCCCCATTCCTCTCTCCTGTCCCTCCCCTCCTCCTCCTCTTTCCCTTCCACTCCCCATCTTCCTCCCCCTACACCCTCCTTCACACCTTTCTCCGCCCTCTCTTCTACCCCTATCACCTTTTCCCTTTCAGGTCTTTCTTCTATCTCTATTCTTCTTCTTCTTCTCACTTCTCTTCCTCCTTCCTTCCTTCACCTCTCTAATCTCTTCAATCCCCTTTCCCTCTCTCTCTCCCCACTTTTCGACCCTCATTTGTTCCTCCTTCTCCTACCCTACGTCATACAGTAACACCCCTCCCTTCTCCCCCTTAGCAACACCCACCACCTTCTCCCCCTCAACAACACCCCATTTCCCCCTTAGCAACACCCACCCCTTCTCCCCCTCAACAACACCCCATTTTCCCTTACCAACACCTTCTCCTCCATATTTTATTTCTATCTGTCTTCCCACCCCTTTCTCCCCCACAACCTATCCTCTCAATTCACTACGTCACAATAGAGCACATGATGTCATTCCTTCCATTACGTCACTGAGTTGCTTTACTCTAATTAAGTCAAGGATAAAAAGCTCAGGTTAAGAATGTATCTCCTCTTTGTTATACACAATGCTATTTGTTGCAGCATAAAGCAAAGGTGATATTCTTTTTGGTATTATCAAAGAAACTCGA